CACGTTGTTGCAAGATAAATCACCAGGACAAGAACCCCGAAAAATCCCAAACGGGAAATTCTATTGCGTAGCGTTGTTAGGACACTGGCGTGCATTCTAGGAAGTTAGGTTGGTTTTGTTTCAAATTTCAAGTAAGTTGAATCAGTTTGCAGAAACCGTCGACCAGAGAGTCGCATCGATATCTCTGAGCCAAAGAAAATAAGTATAAAAAACACCATTGAACATGGCTAAAAGTGCAATAATTCAATCGACCGTTAAATGGCCCGGCACGTCAATACGATATTTAAATCCGCTCGTTAAGGATTCAATCAAGTTCTTTTGACTGCACGGGAAAGGACAGAAAACTTCCTTTGGCTTCTGAACGGAGACGATACAATGAGTTCAGCACCGAGCAGGAGTGGGGGGGCTGTGGGGAGAAGGGGGTTCGGTGGGGAGGGGCAGCAGCGGGGGGAAGAGGGTGCAGCGGGGGGAAGGGGGTTCCGTGGGAGGAGCCGGGGACTCCCCTGTGTAGCTCCCGGCAATCAACGAGCAAAATATCAACACCAGAGAGGACAAAAAAAGCAGAGCGCTGAGCTGTTTAGGAGTTCCAGATCGCTAGTTGGGAAACAATATACGCTAATTCAGCCACAATTTATGCAGAAATATAACCATTTCCGCGAAGTCTGATAAAGAATGGTTTACTGTACAGCTGAGCAGAAACGTTCCACCTGGAATGAAATTCTTGGGAAATTGGCAGCTTTTAAAGCGAATTTTTGTCAATGGACAGAAGGTAATTTACCATGAGATATTAAATGGTAACGGTAGAATTTAGCGGGGACACATGAAATAAGCCTGCTGGACTGCATGGCGGTGATTACATTTGAATTATTCGAGGCGGAAGAAGTCGTCCATCCTTGAATTATAGTAAAAAAAAAAATACGAAGAGTCAGACTTGAGGTTCCAGCTAACATTTTGTGTGTCGCGCGAAACAGCAGATTTGATCCCATTTTAGAAAGAATTTATAACAAGTAAAAAAACGGTTTTACTTAGATTTACCCACTTGTAGTAACTGTAAAATAAAAAAAAACGCCTCAGGAGTACCAAAGTGATACATAGGCACATTTTTCGTTCAAATGGTATCCCTCGTAAACTACCACCAATAATAATGAAGAGTAGCATCAAGTTCACATAGGTACATCCAAGAATTTTGTTTATTTCTAGGATGGACTTAGATGGGTTTCGAATATTTTCATCTATCCATATAATTCTATATAGGCTCGATAAAAATATTACTGCACTGACCATGACGGAACTTGATGAACAGGATGAAATCGATGCTCCGTGCTGTAAAAACATTTCTTAAAATCTATGCAACAGCACAATAGTTAGATAAAAAGGCTTCGCGCCTCGACTCTAACACATAATTATTTTCAAAGTTATTCTTTGTGTTATTTAATTAAGGGAATCCTTATGAATAACGATGTGCCTAATTATCTGTTGATATGACGATGCTGATGCCCTGGATAGATGAGGACGGAAGCTAGTATAATGTGCCTTGACTGCTGCCCACTCGTCGCGGGTGTGGTGCTCGTTAATTAAAACATCTTCCGCGTCTAGTCGTGCATTGCTGCTGGAAAGGTAAAGTATGGCGCCATGCAGGCATCACTCTGAAGAGGTAGCATGTGCCCAGGCATGACGTGGCAACGTTCGCGAATGAAGGATGCAATTCTAAATCAATATATTTGTTTTCACACAAAAATAAAGCAGAATTTTTTCCACGGTCTCAATATTTCAGACGAAGTCTTCATTGTTCTGACGGCACCTTCGTCGTCACAAGGCCAACAAACAGCGACCCTACGTGACTGCATGAGGAGAAGCCCTCCACATTGCATAATGGGGGCGGTTGCATGGTGGTGGTAAATGTCAGAACAACCACCAGAGCAAGCAATTTTTGTCTTGAAGGAAAAGTATGACTGGAAGACAAAGAGTACAATACGTCAAATTAATTTGAGGACCGAAACACTGCTGATGACGATTGTGGAGTTTATACTTGATAAAAATTGGGAAATCGCAAGAAAATATGTACTAACGTTACAAAAACTTAGTTCATTATACTACAATGGCTAATATTGTGTTCTTTCAAGTTACGAAGCGAGTTTTAGAATGCATTTGGAGCGACGGAAGTGGATACAACATCATAAAAAGAAAATGCGATAACTGTAAAAATCTCACACCGTTTCAATAAAAACTGGCTATGTTGAATAACCAGGGGCCGGATTATCAAAACATCGCCAAGTACACAGGTGGCAAAACATTTTGAAGGAATGTTTGGCCACAGTTTTCGTACACAAGATGACTGGTCTGTATGCGGTAGTAAGCTACTCATTGACAGCCTAGCTGACCACTATAGGCATACACTCTGTAGCTCGCATTTGATGTTCAAGTGCACGTGTTACGAGACGAGCCTTGAGGAGCTCTACGCACTACGCGTAAGGTCGGGCAGCGCTGCGAAATGCGACTGTAAAGCTGGATTAGCTGCGTAAAGTGATTATTCAGGAGGACAACACAAAGGAAGATAAGAGCCGTTCTAGGCATCAGCGGCGTGGTGTATCATGCGGTTTCGGTCGCATGGCAATGCTACATTTGTGTCTATAGCTTTTGAACTTGGAACAACGACGTTCAACACATTCTTCAGTTTTAGGGCGAACGGGAATTAATTTGAAGAATAGTAGGAATGCATCGCTTAATTGCATGTCAAATTAAAAATGGGCGCACCCAATTTCGCACGTAATTTTCGAGAAAGAATTGTTCATAAATATTATTCATAATGTCAAGTTTCACCAGCACAAAACTTGGCACTGAGGCTGAAGTAACGTATGTGGCCAGACAAGATAAAAAATTTCGTGCAAAAACTGCACTTGAACTTTGGCATACGCCTCAATTTTAGCATATGGACTCCACTGAACAATGGTGACCTTTACGTTTCCGCCATCACGCCACAAGTTTTCTAAGTAAATATCAAGAATCGATTTATGTCAAGAGCACTCGTTTGCAAGGCTCTGATGCCAAAAAAAAAGCAAGCAAATTGAACATCAATGGCAGGGGTGACTGATGGCGGCGTGTAGCAGGGGCAGTAAAGCAACACATTTCCATCAGCCTGATCGCAGGTGCCGCTGTGAGCAGGGAGGGGTCTGTTAAGCGGCTACCAGAGCTACTAACACGCATGGTAAACTCACAAACGGAAACCTCAAAGCACCAGAAAATAGAGTATTTACTTTGAGTCACTCCAGATGAAAAATGAACTCTCCACGAAATCAAAGCAAACACTAAAGAATTTGAGGACGAACTCGTTACTGCGCTCTAATGTGAATGGGGTCTGAAGTTTGTATTGAAAAGTGCCCTTGCCCACGAGTACAGGACTAATTGTGCTCTGAAAGGGAATTGATGAAAACAATTTTCTCCAGAATTGCTTACTCGCCGAAGTGTACATACTAATTTCATGTTAAGTGTTAAAAAATAATTCTACCATATGAGAGTAAAACGGTTGGCATTGCATGTAGGATCACTAGGATGTTGTCGGGGTGAAGGTCCCAGAATGGTTAAGGTAGCATAGTAGACACTATAAATTATATCGTTGATATAGGAGAAAATCGAACATTCTGAGGAATATGAAAACTACTTCAAAATACAAAATCCTAACATTTGCGCCACCATTTCATCAAAACGGTCAGTCGGGCCAGAAGTACGCAGGAGTAATACAGAGCAAATATATAGCTGGCAACAGGCTGAATTGATCCCTATTTCAATCAGTAGCAATTCAGGTACAAACAAGGATGAATATATTTTTGGCATATACGGATAGGGGATTCGTATTGCAGACTAGACACGCTACGTAGGCTTCATTCATGCACACCAAATCTGATCCGGTAAATGCTTTCCAGCCTTAATACATATTAACTGTTCATGTGTAAGATTTATACAAGCAAATAAACAAATTTATGTATAAAATCCTTTGCTCGCAGGTGCGACTTATGAAGATCTTAACACTTTTCGATCAAAAATTTTCGCCAGATTCCATGTCGACGCCAAATTCCAAGTGAGAAGTCTGACGCACCGTCCTTAACCTTACGAACTTTAGCGAATCGGCGGGAGTCAAGCCTGATTGTTCCCCAAGCTTTTTCGCTTAGCACGAACTGTCCACTTCATCTCCCAAGAAGCAATTTCTCGAATTTTCTTCAACCTTCGTAATTTGGCAGATGGAAATTCCACAGTCAAGTTAAACAAACTTTTTTTTAATAGATCATGCATTTAGTCAACCCGGTTCAACTTAAATTTAAAAACTACGGAATGCACAATGTTACTTTTGCAATGAAAAATGTGGTGATGGTTGCCACAATTTTTTTTATTCTTCAACTAAAATATCAGACGTTCTTTACAGGTTTGCAGTTCCTACCAAAATCCCTAGAATTACAAGTATGTGACTATCTAATTAATAGTGCATTAAGTGTGCAATTTTGTAATTTAGTAATAATCTAAACGAATCTTAGCACGGACTGGGCGTATATTTACACTGGTTACACAAAAAATAGTTATCATCGACGCACTGCCGCCGTCATGGAACTGTCAACAGGATGGGTGAAGCGTTTAAGAAATTATTCAACTAAATCTAATCACGAAAATGAATAATATAGATAAAACCCATCCAGCAATTCTCATCGATCATCCAGACATTACGATCATTATGAATAGGACATGCTGACGAAACTTAACGAGACATGCTAAAATAGTTTTCAAAAATTCACGAGGCATATCTCTATCAACGAAAGTATATGAAAAGTGGCGATTCAATTTCTTTTCAATAGCGCACATCAAGTTGAATCAACTAAACACTGACTCGAAGCAGTCACATTATGAACGATAGAAATCAATGTTCATTTTTATCAAGCTATATTTCTATACACATATAATGGCGATCTTACAATTGAATGCCGAAAGCTCATTTCGCGGCGAGAATTACCTACCTAAGCTCCAGCAGCACAATGTTATGTCGTCGCAACGAAGGTTGCAGCAGAAGTGAGCCGATGGTGGACTGCGAGTGTCTGAGGCGGGTGCCCATGTCTCACTAGATGGCCCAAAAACTTGCTATGTTCGCGGCCTTGGCCTTCACTGAAGACTAGAAGAGCTGTTCTTCCTCAATTGATCGACTTACATAGAAACGGATGGCAATGGATGAGAGCAGATCGGGCGTTGGAGCCTCGAAAATCTTAGTTACAGTCATGTCTGGTGCCGGACTCTACACGCAAGTGAGTAACTGAATTTAGTTTATTTTTAGTTCCCTCTTGCAACACTACGTAATTTGTGAAGAACTTGTTACTAGTGCTCGATAACAAAAAGATCGTTTATTAAAAGATTAGAACACAACACGAATTAAAAATATCTTAATTGGATGACTTCTAAGCTGTATGAGAAAAGAAAACGATTTTGTTTAATAATTCAATCGAAATTATATTCTCAACATAATATCCGAATGTATTAATATTCGGTTAATCTCACCAAATGATATGCTTTTACATAATTGGCGTCTTAGGATCAGAATCTATTTATTCTGCATGCGACTCACGTATCAGTGGTATCACGGTATCAAACCTTCATTAAAATGACATACATAGAAATCTAGTTTTCATAATAGTGATAATACCCAATTGTTCATAAGAAAATGGATTTTCATACCCAAACTCAAGTTCGAGAACCGTATTTTCTCCTGCGTGAGGTACGTATCTATCGTCGTCACGAGTCCTTCCGAAGACTAAGCCTTCATGAGAAAATGAAAAACGTGAATGGAGAGGTCATGAGCTCTGCGTTTCGGAGTTTCGGTACACGCGTCCATGACATCGCCAAGGATTTTCGCAATTACCGAGGAGAATTTTGTTGTTTGTTTTGCCATCGAGACGGCCTGGAGCCGTGCGAGTGTTGGTATCCACGAGAGGTTCAGACGCCAGCAGACACTACGAAACTGAGGCGAGTGCGAACGGCATATTCAACTTTTACGTTTTACCTTCTTGTTAATGAGATTTTCCTCATCGATTTAATTCATTTCCATGAATTAGTATTGTTTTACAATACATAAAATCTCACGAAAGACGACTGACAACGATGAAAATTTGAGGCGTTTCTTACTGGAAAGCGGGGCCTTCCTTCGTTTGTCCTTCCCTCATCTATACAAAATGTCAGACCGGTGCCGACGCAAGAAGAGCGCAGGAATGTTGCTGGCAGCTATTGTTACGTCATTGTTCCCAGTCACGGATTATTTACAAGTGACCGTAAAAGTCGCTCTTCTTATATTGATAAATTTAGGGAAATATTTTTCCTTACATAGATATTTTTCGTATGCGTGCGAACGTCTCATTCAATTATATTATTTTCGTTGACACCCATGAATGTTTATAAAAAAGATTAGTGCATCAGACGATTAAAAAAATGTTAATATGTGTAGTGTCAGTTCAATTGACGTAACTCAATTGATACAACAATGGCTTAAACTGTTTGAATTCATTAAGGATATTTATTTGTCAAAGAAAATGATTGATAAATGTACCCTGACACACTGTTCTGTTGACGAGGTGCTAGCTAATTACCTATGATGTACCCTATCAAAAATGACAATCATCGTTTCAAATATCAACAAAAACATATCACAAGTCCTTCAAATTGACGTGCGCTGTTTAATTGATCAAACATTGCGACTGGAGCGGCCGTGTCAGGAATAAGTGAGTGCCACAGCACGGCGCTTGACCTTGTGCACGGCGCGCGGCCGCTGGTGCTCAGCGCGCGCAAGCCTGCAATGCTGCAGAGAAAGTCCCTACACCGCCAACGCCTCACAGCGACGTGTGACCCACGAGCTGGAGGAAATAGGAATTGCAACTATCGTAAATTAATATTCCCTCTATATGTGGATATTTAAGAATGTAAATTGACGCTGTAGATTTATGAATAAAGATTATCGCGTGCAAGTTATAGTAGACATGAGGTGTTTGAATGTATGCATACATTGTACAGTGTAAGATAACTTAGTGTAAAGGGTCATGATATTTCTAATCCTATTTGTGACGAACTGTTGTGCTAGGGTTCAATAAATTTACCCAATTCGCGAAGTTCAATTAAACTTACCCAAACGAATATCGATTCATTTATTCGTGAGTGGACATGAATTGACAATCAGAAAAACCTGAATTGATCACTAACCCGAACCTACTAACATTGAAGTAAATTCAATCGCAAGAACGATACAGCACAGGCGTTTTTAGGATGGGTACTGGGCTTCAACAAGATATAATCATTACAAAAAGAGGAATAATCCAGATGAGGTACGGTAGTAACTCTAAATTAAAATATCTTTAACATGGTATGCTAAACGATCACTGTTGTTTGGTGTCAGCCTCGTTGCACAATAACACCCATCTGTTAAAAAAAAGAAAAAAATTATAGAAAAATATATAAAAACGAAAAAAAAATAGAAAATAACAGATAACAGAAAACATAAAACAGAAAAACAACAACAAAAAAGCCGGAAACAAACAACAACAAAAAAACAACAAACATAAATAAAAAATATAAAACAAAATAAAAAATAATAAGAAGAAACGAAAAAAACGCAAAAAAAAACAAAAATTCAAATCACAATCACAAACACAAATTCAAGAACATAAACAAAAACACAAACTAAAAAACAATACAAACTCAAAGACAAACGCAAAAACAAATTTATCACATTTTCCCAGTAATATCTATATTAACCAGTTTTAGAGCACTAGCAAGCTCAATTTAATTCAGTTGCTACCACATTCTTATGCAGTTCCCTCATTCGCCCCATCACTCCCGTAAAAGACCAAATGTCTTAATTCAGAGAAAAACTCGTATCATGCATACAATATAATATATTACATATTTGTGCTAATATAGTAGAATGAATATAGTCATTGAATCATTTATTAGAATTTTATTTCTGCAGACAGTGGCTACCCGTCATTTGCCGACGCAGCTCTCGTCACAGTGGATCTTTTTAAAACGTGTGATCGACAGTACAGTAGGTGTTATCCTTGTTGTATTGACAATAATTCTGGTTACTAGTAATTTGTATAAGACATTACTGCCAGTGATGTACTCGTATACAAAAGGTTAATGAGGATAATATCTACTCGTGTTTCGGCTTTTAAAGGCCAGGGTTATTAATTTTTGCATGGTTTATTACCTGCATTAAATACTAAATCAACAAGAGGGAGTGAATGCAAGGAGGTTAATTAGCGACAAATAATTAGTTTCCTTTATTTGTTGAAGTTCTCTTGGCAGCATGTAGAACTTGATGGAAAATTTAAGCAGCAACCAACATTATTACCGGTCCTCAGTACAGTCAAACTGTAGATAAAACTGCAAGACATTCTCGGACTCAATACAGGATGTCGGCTAAGAGGCCAATCAGTTATAAGTTAGCAGAGTTAATAAATCAAATACAATCTGCGATAGAGATTCGGGGAAAACCCCATGCTGCTTCATAAGAAATCATTGAAGCCTATCGAATATCTTGAGAAATATAAGGGTAGGAAATAGCATTTAGCCTGTCATTAATGACATGTTGCTTGCATGTACGCTACAGCTGGGGTAGTGGCTTCCATGCTTACGGCTTATGTAGGAGCAAAAATAAGTTGAGAGCGGATGGGTACAAATTTGAAAACTTTCTGTTTAGGTTAATTCCAAATTATCTAAAAAATATATTGAACAAATTCTACTGTAAAATTTATTATCTATCAGCATATAGCTATTTTTATGTTATGCGTTTTTATATAAAATATATGCAGTTCAAAGTACCAGGCTTGGAGCACAGAGGTGCGGGATCGATCCTTGCTGTGAATACGCTATTATTAATATTACTATGAAGATTTTCATTTATTTATTATTGTTCATTTATTCATATTCATTCATTTGTATTGTAAAACATATATTGCACGAATTCTACTATATGTACGTATATACCATCTACCATTATTCTACCATCTTAATTGCTGCCATTCATTTTTATATCAGACTATTTAATGAACATATTTATTTTTTATTATCATTATAAAATTTCTTTTTAAGCTGCTTTAACTTTTCGACCGATAAAATCTGTATCTAAAATTTATGGTTTAAATAAACAATGGCCCGGCAATTGCATTGAATAACTATACTATTCAGTGCGCTCTCTGAATGAGTCATCCTTGCCTTCATGTAGCTATAGGAGAGGCGGGGCCTCCTTAATTGTCTATACGTATATCCTTTTATATATGAAGGCTGCCGGTGCCTCTATATTGTGGTCACTGATGAGTTTATGGTAAGGCAGTTGAGTTGATTTCTCACGCCATAATTACACATTTACCTCAGTTTATTCGCATGGTTGTAGGATTTGTTCGAAAATTTTTGACTTTCGAACGGATAATAAATTGGAAGTTTTTGTAAAAGAATCAAAAAGAGGAAAAAAACTTCAATATGAATAACGTGTCGCTGTTTGGCTGCTGAAATTATGATTGAGAGATTTATATTTACTCCGCTTTTCGTTTTTTAGGCTTAAAATTTCCAAATTCATTGAGGGTGATCAAAAATTGTTTGACCTAACACGACGATTCTCTAATCATCTTCAGCAGAATAATAACAACATTACTCTGGCTTCGATTGAATTCAGTTGTTCAACTCTTTGATCACGTAGGAGTTATTATCAGAAGGTCATAGAAAACTCCACGGATAAATTGTGAATAGTTTGGACCTAGCGATCGAAACATTCATGCATGAAGTTTTGTTCCTAGAATTATGGAAATCACGAAGAAAACATACTGAAATTAGAATTTTGAACAATTGTTTGTGTTCCCATTCCCAATTTTCTTACACAATTATTAGGGTGATGATGATCATGGACTGACTATAAGTCACTCAAAGCCCCATCACACGAACATCATCTCAGAAGCTTATAGGTGCGCGCTACCATTTGAATGCACAAAGTTTAGAATGAATACTGACAGCCTTGCAGTCGCTGGGGCAGCGGCCTCTACCGTAAACCCAGCGACCAGGTTGGGCA